GGAATGCACCTTAATCTCGAGGTAGAATTTATAGACAAGCAGATCTGGCTCCACACAAGCAGACAACTAGAGGTGTATAATACATATGAGGTTGAACTACATGAAATTGCTGGGTTTGGGGTCAAAAATGGCCAAATAGCAGTAATTTTAAACATAAACACAAATTGAGTACTTACCAAATGCTTGGCACTGATTAATCCCTTTATATACATTAACTCACTGTATTTTTACCCTGTAATACATCATTTATTATTCCCATTGTACAGAGGCTCAGAGAGGTTAAATAACTTCCCTGAGGTAATATAGCTAACAGGAGGCAAAGTCTACATTGCAAACCAGTCCCGGGTGAGTTCAAAAGCCTGCCTCTCATTTACTATGCTATGTATTTACATACTACGTTATATATAAGTGAACTAAGGTGAGCTCAGGGTTACTCAGGGTATCAAGCAAAGGTAATTATTAATAAACCCATTTCACACATAAAACAAACTGACGGTAGAAATCTTTAGTCCCTTGTCCGTCCACATTTGTTATCTGACCAAAGTGATAATGTTTGAAGAATAGCTTATTCTCTCCAACTGGGAATCAGCATGCTGCCTGGAGGTTGCACTGGCTGTGGCTGACTGGGAATTCTGTATTAGGTGGATGTGAATGTGGAGCCACAGGAAATATGTTGTGTAGAAGTTCCAGTTTTCCACTGGGGATAAGATGGTATCTGCATCACACCTTCTTTCTGACCAAACAGGAATAGGGCCTTTGTTTTAAGATCAGTAGAGAGAGGCCAGGGCTTGTTTTAAATGTAGATGCACCATTCTGCAATCTGTATACTGTTCTCTCACAGAACATCTTGCATCACAGTCAGGCTATTATTACAGTCAAAATAATATACAACATCAGCACAGACAGGGCCTGAGAACAGGAACCCAGGGGGTGTGGGATAAATACGCCATTTCATTGCGCTTCTTTTGAACTTTTACTAGTTTAATGTAAAAGCAAGTCCTGTATATGACAAAAATTAAGACAGGCCAGAAAGATACATGAAATAAATTTTTTAAGTTCCCCATTCCATCCACATGACCTATTCAGAGGTAAACTGATGTTTTTAGATTTCCTATGTCTATAAATTTATATATATCTATATATGAGTTGGAATTGACTCGACAGCAATGGGTTTGGTTTTTTTATATATATTTATAAATATATAAAACCACCTGGTGGTGCACTGGTTAAGTGCTCAGCTGCTAACCTCAAGGCTGGTGGTTCAAACTCACCAGCCGCTCTGTGGGAGAAAGTTGTGGCAGTCTGCTTCTGTAAAGCAGACTAGGAAACCTTATGGGGCAGTTCTACCCTGTCCTATAAGGTTTCTATGTGTCGGAATCACCTCGGTAGCAACAGGTTTGTTTGTTTTTTTTTTAAATATATACATAGCGAGAGAGCAGGGGGCGGGGGAAGTAAGACTACACAGTGTGTACCATACTGTAAGCTGTTTTGCACCTAACACTGTATCTTGGGATCTGTTCACATCCCATATATACACATTTCCTCATTGTTTAAATAGCTGCGTAGTATTCCATTATACAGACACTCTAGTTTTTATTTAACCAGGTCCTTATTGATGAGCATTTGACCGTGGAGAACTTTCTTTAGTGGGTGGTTCTCGTAAATCAATAAATATGTAGGACTATAAAAGACCTGACAAATCCTATCCAACTGAAATGAAATTCAAAGTAAGTTTAAAAAATAACAACTTAAACAGCCCAGGAATTTTTAACTGTTTTATTAATTTTAAATCTTTCAAATGCTTCTTATTAAATGGAAAAGCTTTCATTATTGCCCCACATACTTATCAGGGAAATGAAACCTTTCCTTTCACTTGGCGTGTTTTGACAGAATTTCTGAAAACAAGAAAGGAAGGGCCTCTCAGGGAAACTGAACACACCAGGCAAATGAGATTCTGGTGCTCCTCCTTAGGAGAGGCTTTCTTTTCAGTTGCTTATTCTCTGGGCCCAGTAGACAGCAGACAAATCCAGACTGCAATAAAAACCAGGAGCTCCTCAGACTACTTTTTGACAAAGGCCCTTATTTTATTGCATTACTTTAGTTTTTTAAATTAATTTATCGTAGTTTTTAAAGATTTTATTAACTGACTGCAGTTTTTAAAGACACTTAGACAAATCAAATAATAAAAAATGAGTAACAGTCAATAAATATAAATCAAATAATAAAAATCAAACTATACCCCGCCCTCTTTTGCATTTTATCTTTACTTTAAAGGAAGGGCTTTTATGAGGCGAACCTAACAAAGTCCAGTTGACTTCGAGCCATCTTTTAACCAAACATGCCCCCTAGGTTGCAAGCATCTACACCACTCGAGAACCCAACAGTGTGACATCAGTGTGTGAAGCTTGAACACATAGCCAGGTCAAAACGGCTACATACACAGAGGGACAGCAAGTGAACTCTCAAGTCGAAAACTGAAGTGTGGTTAACTCCTTACACTCAGTGTGTACTCAGTAAATATCTGCTCAGTGTGTACTCGGTAAAAACATGCTAAGTGGATGAACAAACTATTTTGAAAGTCAAGGTATCGTCAAGTTGTCCTATGGTGACAGACCACATCCCTAAGAATCCTAACCAACAACAACAACAAAAGGATAAGATACAGTATGCCGAGAAAAAAACAATAGGACTATTTAAAGAATAGCTTCTTATCTGGTCCACAAACTGTGAAGTGTTTGAAATGAATCTTCAAAGAACCCCCAGACCTTCCTTTCTACCCTGTCTTCCTTATTTACCCTTTTGAGATGATGCTTCTTCTTTTACCCATAAATACCAGTGAAACTCATACTCTTTGCCACAATTCCTTCCTCCCTTGTATCAACCTGTACCCATGACAAGACCTGATAAATTAATTCACACTGAGGTGTAAATGACTGATACAGTTTAACCAGTTTTCCCTATCAGGGTTCTTTATTTTTTAATAAAAGATGCACAAATTAATGCAAATTTTAATGTCTCAAGTTACACTTAGAGTCAAGCGGACCTTCTGGCACCTCTGAAATCACACAGTTTAGCCTGATACCCACTGTGGCTACTTATACACCAGGCTGTGTCCACTAACTGGTCTCCAAAATTTTTCACTGATCCCCAACTATATTCCTTAGCCATAATCTGAGGAAACAGGACCAAGATGTTAGCTGAATTCAGAGACTGGGCTTGGCCAGAAGGAAGTTCTCTTCTAGTTACTCTACTGGAAATCTCCCTAATGCCACAAAGCAAAAGTCCCATATACAATATATAGTCAAAATATTTAAAAGCTGAAGCTCAGGGTCAAAGGTGGAAGCACTCTGATTCCTCATGATATCTTATAAAGCAGTCTGAAATATCTGTGCCCCACATGTAGACTGGTTTGCACTTGGTTAAATATAACTACAGGTTGAAGAATTGCTTATAGCCAATTATGATACACATATCTGGTCTGGGACCTATATTTTGTAGTAGTTCCTCTAGAGGGATCTGCAGATTAAATTATTTAAACGTGCTTATCATTAGCAGTTTAAATAAATGACATTTATTTTAGCAGGAGATTAATTTTTAACTTGGCAGCTGTCTTCAGACAGATTGCTGTCAGGTTATTACAGTGACTAACTTTGAAGGAAGGAGGAAATTTACAGGAGATTGTTGTTTTCAGACACTCAAGCTTGCATTTCCCCAAAGAGGCAAATAATTTTGTTGATGCCCAGGGACACTGGGTCCTGAAGACACTGCAATGTTTGTATCTTTGTGACCTAATTTCAATAATACCCTCGCATTATTCTTATTTGGCTTTTCATGTGGAAAACTAAAAATGTTCTTTAAAAGAAGCATTCTTCAAATATACTCTTCAGAGGCAGATTTTTTTTTTGGTTGAGTTGGAGGTTTATATAAGAGCACATTATAGAGGAGCAGGTAAATATCTTGGAAAGAGCTCTGAATAGACAGTTGGGAGACCCAGGTTCAAGTTCCTGCTCTGACAAGATCACTAACTGGCTGTGGTCTTTCGAAGGCCTCAGATCTCAGTTTCCTCATCTGCAAGATGAGGTTATTTAGAGATAATCACTAAAGTCCTTTACTGAAAAGTCCATGTATCTAGTAAACCAACCAAGTAATATCAAGTTTTGCCCAAGGTTGTCCTGTAACCTACACAAAGACCACAGAGGGGCATCTCAACCTACACATGGTCCAAAACCCACAGCAACTAGATCCTATTTGACCCCAATTTTAATGTCTTTACTTTTAGCTGCAATGAATGAAAACAATATCACCTAACACTGCAGCTGTCGACAGGGTAGTAACCTTGAACTATGTCTGATTACTGACTATCAGAATGGAAAAGAGGAGAGTTTCTTGGGAGAAGGGGGTGACTGTCACCTCTCTCCTTGAACATCGCTTTGAATTTACCATCAAATTTTCAGTTGATGATATAAAGTAACAAGCCACAAATCAAATTTCTAACAAACACCACAACGGGGTACTGAAAGACCATAAAGTAGATAACATTCTACTTGGTTTTCTCTCATTGATGAGAAACACCAGGAATTACTTTGAACAATACAGAAATCAGTAAGTCTGATTATTCTTCATCAGAAGAAGATGACCCAAGACAACAAGTTCATACCTTGGTTTCTGTTAACACAAAAATCAATCAAAATATACACTTTGCCAAAACTAAACTATAGCCAAAATGGAAATAGATCTTCCAATAATAAAAAGCAAGAGTAAATTTGAAAGAATGTAAGAAATAGTTAAAAATTTTTTTACAGATAAGCAGTCAGATGTAATGGCCAAATTCATTAAAAAGATTCACATTTGAATGTCTTTTAATTTTAAATTCAAATAATGTTTTTCAGTTCTCCCTTGGATTACATAAATCATAAACCCAAAGACATGAGAATTCTCTCATTTCAAGTCTCGGGGTGAGATGTTAGACATGATTTTGAAAACCAATGAAGAAATCATACCTTGAAATCATATGTGGCATCTGGATTTTCATCACAAGCAATAACTTCTGGAGCCATCCAATAGGGAGTCCCGATGAAGGTATTCCTTCTGCCCACTGTTCGATCTAGCTGGGCACTGACTCCAAAGTCCACTATTTAAGAAAAGACAAATGAATATTGTCTACAATCTTTGGCTTTATGTGGAGACAAGATGAATTTTAAAATTGCATGTTTAAATGGATGAAGTGCATTGATAAGGAAAGTATAGTGTGTTGTATTTGGATACACCAAGACTCTATGGGACTCAAAAATAGGTATTAAATAAAAGGTAACCTTGGCTGCAACCAAAACCAAACCCATTGCTGTTGAGTAGATTCCGACTTATGGTGACCCTATGTGTTACAGAGTGGAACTACTCCACAGGATTTTCTTGGCTGTTATCTTTTTATTTGCTTCTAATTTTTATTGTATTTTAGGTGAAAGTTTACAGCGCAAATTAGTTTTTCATTCAAAAATTTATACACAAATTGTTTTGTGACATTGATTGCAATCCCCACAATGTGTCAGCACTCCTTCCCCTTCCCTTTTCACCCTGGGTTCTCTGTATCCCCATTTGTCCCGTTTTCCTGTCCCTTCCTGCCGTCTCGTCTTTGCTTCTGGGCAGGTGGTGCCCATTTGGTCTCGTATACTTGACTGAACTAAGAAGCACATCCCTCAGTGTGTTACTGTTGCTTTATGTGCCTAATCTTTTTCTGAAAGGTGGACTTCAGGAGTGGCTTTAGTTCTGAGTTATCAGGGTGTCCAGGGACCATAGTCTCAGGGGTTCCTCAAGTATCTGTCGGACCAGTAAGTCTGGTCATTTTTTTGGGGAATTTGAATTTTGTTCTACATTTTTCCCCTGCTTGTCCAGGACCCTGTATAGTGATCCCTGTCAGAGCGGTTGGTGGTGGTAGCTGGGCACCATCTAGTTGTTCTGGGCTCGGGCTGGTGGAGGCTGTGGTTCATGTGGTCTGTTAGTCCTTTGGGCTAATATTTTCCTTGTGTCCTTGATTTTCTTCATTCTCCTTTGCTCTTAACATGATGGGGCCAATAGATGTACCTTAGATGGCCACGTGCAAGCCTTTAAGACCCCAGACACTACTCACCAAAGTTGGATGTAGAACATTTTCTTTATAAACTATTTAATGCCAATTGACCGAGATGTCCCCCGAGACCATGGTCCACAGCCCTCAGCCCCAGTCCCTCAGTCCCTCAAGGTGTTTGGATGTGTCTAAGAAGCTTCTATGACTTTGGCCTGGTAAAGCTGTGCTGCCTTTCCCTACATTGTGTGTTGTCTTTCCCTTCACCAAAATTAACTTGTCTGTAACTAGTTAGTGATTTCCCCTGCCCACCCCTCCGCTACCTTGTAACCATCAAAGATTTTTTTTGTGTGCGTCTAAACTTTTGTTGGGTTTTTATGATAGTGGTCTCATACAATATTTGTCCTTTTGTTATGGACTTATTTCACTAAGCATAATGCCCTCCAGATTCATTCATGTTGTGAGATGTTTCATGGATTCATCATTGTTCTTTATCGTTGCATAGTATTCCATCGTATGTATGTACCATAATTTGTTTACCCATTCATCTGTTGATGGGCACTTAGGTTGTTTCCATCTTTTTGCTATTGTGACTAATGCTACAATGAACGTGAGTGTGCATATGTCTATTCCTGTGACAGCTCTTATTTTTCTAGGATATATTCCTAGGAGTGGGATTGCTGGATCACATGGTATTTCTATTTCTAGCTTTTTAAGGAGGTGCCATGTCATTTTTCATAGTGATTGTACCATTTTACATTCCCACCTGCAGTGCATAAGAGTTCCAATCTCCTCACAACCTCCCCAATATTTGTTATTTTCTGTTTTTTGGCTCAGTGTCTTGGCAGTAATCTTTAGGGAAGTAGATCACTAGGCCCTTCTTCTGAGTGTCGCTGGGTGGGTTCAAACTGTCAACCTTTAGGTTAGTAGTTGAGCGCAAATCATTTGCTCAAAGGATAGTAATTAGTACTCAGATTCTGGTGTCAGACAGCCAAAGAGTACATCCTATTTCTGCTGCTTACTAGTGATGCGACCTAGGGTTAGTACATTAACCTCTGAGTTTTGGTTTCCCAGTCTGTAAAATGAAGATGACGATATCTACATAGAGCTGTTCTGATATTTAAGTGACATAATCTATATATAAATATCTGGTACAGGGCCTGGCATACAATGTACTTTTCACAAATAACTGTTAACTAGTGATGAGTGAATATTCTGAGGACAGCTTACCTAGCAGGCACATACATACCTGCTTAGTCTATATAATGTATAATTTTGTATTTAAAAAAATATTCATAAGACAAAAGTTGTCACCCCAATGCTAAGTCAAAATGGAAATATGTCTTAATAAAAAGGCAAGGGCCAATGTTTGGGATATAAACATAGAAAGTATTTAAATCTCTTTGAAAATAAGCAGTCATATGTACAAAGATTTTTTTCTAGATGATAAATCATATATCCTGTAACTTTTCTTAAAGGATATTTGTCAGTTTATGCCCTCACTTATATATGCCAAGCAGGCAAATGCATGTGGCAATTCTCTACTTTATCTGGATAATCCCAGGTCTGTTATGGGAAGGACTCCAATGGATAGCACCAAAGAAAAGGATTCCCTCACTGATGACTCTGGCAGATTGAGGTGAGATGATCAGAATGCAATCAAAAGTGGGAAGCTGGGCATCCATTTTGCAAAGGTGCCCTAGTTAATAACAAAATCAATGTAAATACAACTTAAAATGTAGGTGAATGAAGCAGGAACTAGTTATTCTGAATGTATCTAACTGTGGATACTTTAAACCAAAAAAATCAGATATCATGATTGTCTTGTTACAGCTGCAACCATGTAAACCACCTATAAAATGTAGGAGACCATTTCACTCACATCTAATCTAAATGGTCTTTGCTAAAAAAAATTTGATTATTTTTACACATCTATTAAGCACACAGTGCTGTTCACCATACTGCATACTAACTGACTCTTAATGCTTTTGGAAATGTTAAACGGACATTTTCATTTCCATTCTTAACACAATGACCTTCAAATTCACAGTGACAAATTTACATTCATTACAAAAAAATAAAACAATAACAATGCTGTTGAAATAATCCTATCAATTCCTGCACTTCCCAGGCTCACTAGCTTCTGTTCTTACCTAGTTTAACTTCTGCGTTTTCAGTCAGCAGAACATTCTGCCCTTTAATATCTCGATGAATCACTTTATGCTGGTGCAGGTGACTCAGCCCCTGGAGTGGTGGAGAGTTGAGAAGAGTTAACAGGAACATAAATCAAAATGCAAATAAATTATTTTGGACACTGATGATCCAAAAAAAAAAAAAAAAAAGAAGAAGAAGAAGAAAGAAAGAAATTTAACTTATCCAAAGATACTTTCAAAATTATATTCACATCTTTCATGCGTTCACAGCGCCATCCTAAACCATAGGCAACCGGTCAATGTGAACTGAACTAAAAGGCAGCTCTTGCTATTCTTTCATATCAGATCTGATCTCAGGTACCACTGAACTGCATGGAGATACGGTTCCAATACACACAAGTTTCTGTTAACACCGAGGACACCAAACGTGAGGGCTGCCTATTTTTGCTAGTTTGTAATAGGAATATCTGCAATGACTCTGTACAGAAAACTAGCTCTATTTAACTGGACCCCCCACATTTTTGGGGGACAATATTGAATTTAAAAATTAAACAATATTACCTCTGTGATACAATTTTAATGAAGTACAATAAAACTTTTTTCAGAGCAGTCAAGAAATTTCCCATTGGCTCTAGCCAAATTGGTTCACAGTAAAAAAGGAAAACAGTCTCTGTTTCCTTCGTTGGCCATTATCACTGCCAACGGACATCCGTGACTTCGTGTTCGTTACATGAGACAATCGTTTGTGTTATCCAAACCTGACTGTGTTCCATTTCTGAATGAATTACTCGGGTTTTGGAGTCTTTGTGGTATGAGTTCTAAGAGCTATAGACTTACTCTAAGGTAGTCAGATGTTTCTCAGAGAAATCATAATCTAAAATAATCTAAGATTTGCATTTTCACACAAATGATGACAATGCTAACACTGCTGATTCAATGTATCGGGTACACAAGTGTTGTCATTTTATTATTTGTATTTCCTGAAATTTTAATTTTCTCTACAACAACAAAAGCAGGGTATAAAAGATGAAGTTGACACAAAAGCAGCAAAATCAATTTTTGAATTCTCCTGTTGAAGAAATTCAGCATGAGAATACCGACGTCCAAAAAGATCTATGTATATATTAGGGATGTAAGTAAATATAAGCAATATGATAGGACAGTTTGAGATACAGATTTGGGTCTTAAAATATTATCTTTCTTATCTAGTCAGTTTGGCTCAAGGTAGGTATCAAGCAGATTTAAATGTATGGTTTTCATAGTATATGAACACCTCACAAACCCTTCAGAGAGGGGTTGAAGACCCCTTTCCTCCTTCACCACTGAAGTATTAGAAGCAGATAACAGAGTATGTAAGGGAGGCAAAGGTTATAGTTAATGAGCTCAAACAATGCACAGAGGTTGATCTCTGAAACTTCCCATGACCAGGGACCTTGCGGTGATCAAATGTTCCTTTGAGAGAGTCCCTTATCTTAATCACCAGTTTCACTTTGGAGAATGTATTAAAGGCAGAAAACCACTGTTTTCACACATTTTAAAGGCCCTGGGTGGTGCAAATGTTAACATATTTGGTTGCTAATTGAAATTGCATCCACCCAGAGGTGCTTGAAAAGAAAGGCCTGGCGATCTACTTCTGAAAAAAATCAGTCATTGAAAACCCTGTGGAGTGCAGTTCTACTCTGACACGCACAGGGTCACCAAGAGTTGGAATCAACTTGTTGGCAAATGGTTGGTTATTGAAAGATGCTCACAGGATCAAACACCCCTGCTGCTTCTAGAACCCTGGGATCAAACGACTGATCCCTGTAGGGTTACCCAGCAGTACAGAAGGCGTATTGGGCAGAACCAGCCCTGGAAAACTGATAGATTCTTGGGACCTCTTAGGTGGTCTGGATAACTAAACAATCCATTATACGCTCCTTGCCTGGGCTGTTTTAGAAGCAAAATTTTAACAGACAGAAATTCAAACTAAGTTTATACAATGGCACATTAAGACTTGGGGATAAATGTTAGATGTGAAGGAGATCGCCTGTCATGCCTCCTTGTTTCCCCTCAAAGTTTGTTTTATGTTCTGTTCAAGAAATCTTTTTTCCTATTATCCCATGTTTTCTCTCAAAAGCTTTATTTTTTTATCCCTTTCAGTTATATCTATAATCTCTCTGTAACTGATTTTTGAATATGGTTTAAAGCAGGTGTTAAGTTTCATGCTTTCACATGAATATTCAGTTGATGAAGCACCATTTATTGATTAAAGAACCTCTTCAACACAGCAGCATTTCCTATGTCATAAATCAGGTGCCCATATGTCAGTGGGTCTGTTTCCTGATTCCGTTCCATTGGACATTTGTCTGTTCTGTGACAATGCCTCTCTGTCTTAATTACTTAGTAGCTTTATAAAAAGTTGTGATATCTGGTATCATAGATCTTCCAGCTTTGTGGTTCTTCTTCAGGATTGCCTTGGCTATTCTTGGCCCTTTACATTTCATATAGTTTTTAAAACTCAACTTGTCAGTTCCTACAAATACACCTACTAGTATTTTGATTGGGAGTGCAATGAAACTATGTATCAAATTGGGAAGAAATGATATCTTTATAATATTAAGCCTTCCACTCCATAAATATGGTATACCTCATCCATTATTAAGTCTTCTTTAAATTCTCTCAGTAATGTTTTGTAGTTTTCAGTGTAAAAGTAGTTCATATCTTTCAGTAAATTTATTTCTAAGTATTTGATTTCTATGTTATAAGTGTTATTATCTAAAAATTTCATTTTCTATTTGTTTTTTGCCTGATCTGGTTTGCATTTGATGAATAAACATTATGTTTTTATGCCCTTCTTTCCTTCTTCCTTAACTTCCATTTATCCATCCACCCATCACAGCACATAATCTATTTCTCAAAGGTATTTCTTGGACACATATTGAAAAACAGTTTTAACTTCTGTTCTCTTAAATTAAGAAGGTAGAGTTTACAAATAAGTAACAATTAAGGCAGATCTAGCAAGAACGTTTGGTGGACATATAACAGCCTCTATATTAGTACTAAGAAAATTAAACTAGTATGAAGGAACTAAAATATACCCAATTACTTCTCCTTGAAAATAAGGCACAACGGACCAGATTGTCTGGTGTAGGCTTTGTGGGTATAACTCAGACAACAGGCAAAATCTTGCCCAGCTATTTTGGTTGATTTAAGTGATTAAGTCTCAAAGAATTTTTTTTTTTTTTTTTAAAAAAGGTAAAAGCCATTAAAACTAGGTTGTATGTACTGAAATGGCTAAAGTCACACAACCTTTACAGACTATATGTGGTAGAAAGGCATCACTACATTAGTTATGATAAATTAGTTATAACTCTTACAAACAGAAAACTCAAATGATCAAATATCTCAAAACAATTCATTTATTGGGTGTAACCCTTCTTTCTGATCTAAAATCAGATTTTAATTGAAAATACCATTGGACATGAATCCTTGTTAAGGGAATTTACCCAATGTTAGCCCTTTAAATGGAGGTGCACATGGCCTTCACAAGCTTTCCCTCTCAAGGCATCCAGAATGGCTCTCATTTCTATTAGAGCAGACTTTCACACCAACTCGACCATCACCACAACTACCACTACTACCACCAGTGTTAGAATAAAGCTTAAAAAAGATTTACAATATGTTTGTGAATTCCAGTGGAAGGTTTAAAACAAAGTTCAACATTTCCCTGATATCCAGTGTTACCTTAAGACATTGGGAGGGAGGCCAGTCCCCACTTGTTACATACCCGTAAGATCTCCCTGCAGATGTATGCGATCCATTCCTCCTTCAACGTGTTACCTTTTGTGTTCTTGATCAGATCGGTGACAGAGCCAGCGCCACAAAATTCCATCACCAACTGGCAAGGGAAGCAAACACGCCATAATAATAATTACATTTTCACAGCTTCGACTAGGTTGGGTTAATAAAACATATAGATTCCAGTTGGCTGCTTTAGAATGCCATCCCTGTAAAGAAAAATTGATCACTAAACAATATATTAAACATAAACTTTTAACTTAATTTCCTCCTAAAACAGCAAAAAGGGAACTTTTTATTTTTGTAAGTTTCCAATCTGAAAGTTGTATTTGGAAATTGAGAAAAATCTTCATAGTATAAGTCATTTTTAAAATAGGAACTGATAGGTGGTCCAGACATCATCAAGAATATCTTTGTGTTTTTCCCCAGCACTCTAACTCATCTGTCCTACAAAAATAGGATCATTCCCCTGTCAGAAAGAGCTATGGTTCTCTAAGCAGTCCCAAGTTACAACAACAGAATGCAAACTGTTTGTGCTATTGGTTTGGAAGTGGCACTGTAAGCTGTCAGAGTGAGGACTATCTGTTTTTAATTAACATCAGTAAATGTTCCCAGGAGTTTGGCACATCGAATAAATTCAGTAAACAATAAACCATAATTTAGCACCTTTCATCCAAAAAGCTTCAAGCTCTCTATAAATATAAATGCATTACAGTTCTCAGCAACTTTATCAAATAGGCAGAAAATAAATATCTCCCTTATTTAACAGGGAAATACAGACCAGAAGAGGAAAAGCAATCTATTTTACTGCTTTACATCCATTATCTAGGTTTAGAAAAACACATCACTTTCCATATTTTCTCTCTCTTCTTCAACAACAATCACCTAATTAGGCACGTATATTATTTTTTTATTATGCAAAAAGAATTAATTATATGAGAAGAATTCAGAATAACCAGCAACCAATCTGTGACCTGACAGTAAAAACAAAACTAAATGGTGCCTTAATGAAATCTCATTGATGGTTTTGGCGAAATGTACATTCCCAACATCAGTACCAGGTCATCAGGTCCAAAATCTACCCAACCAGCCCGCAAAATCTTCAGGACAAAAGTTATGTTTTCTTTTTCTCTGTATTTCTGGCATCTAGTACAATATCAGGCAAAAGTAGAAACTCAACAAAAACTCATGAAATGAGTTTAATAAATGAGTTTCTAATGCCTGTTTTGACTTGTCTTTGGGTGATCCCACAAAGGGCAGGGAAACTCCCCATCTTCTCCAGAAGGGCCAACAGAAGTAGAGAGAATAAGGAATTTTCGTAAGGAGACTTGGAAAATGCTCACAATAGGCTACATTCCAACCTGATAAGAACTGTAAAACTACCATATATGACAACCAGGAAACTATCAAAGACTCAGGAGTCAACTTGAAGAGGCTTCCATTGGCTAAAGATGAGGTAATCTGAGCATCAAGAAGAATAATAATTTCAATTTGTTGAAACATATTTAATATGTTCAATTAAATGAGTTAATAAAGATATTCCTTCCTCCCCCCCCCAACCCCCCAGAAAAAGCATATAACTGGCACTGTTAGAAGAAAGAAAATAACTTCTTATTTACAAAACCGGCAAATAAAGGAAAAGAATCAAGAATTTTTTTCCTGTCTTTCTTATACAAAATTTATCCTTAGGTAACTAAATAATAAAAGAGGGAAAGCTTATCTTCTTTTGTTTGTTTGTTTTTGAACATTTTATTGTGGTTGGGCGAAAGTTTACAGAGCAAATTAGTTTCCTATTTAACTATTTATACACATTTTGTTTCATGACATTAGTTGCAATCCTCTCAATGTGACAGCACTCTACCCACTTTCCCCCTGAGCTCCCCATTTCCATTCACCCATCTTTCCTTCCCCTTCCTGACTTCTGAACTTTGTTTTTGGGCAAATGCTGCCCTTTTGGTCTCCTGTTCCAATGACTTTCCTCACGGGTATTACTATTCACTTTACAGGTCTGTCAATTGTTTGGCTGAAAGGTGATCTCTGGGAGTGGGTTCATTTCCAGGTTGAAGGGTATCTAAGGGCCATAGTCTCGGGGGTTCCACTAGTCTCTATTAGACCAGTAAGTCTGGTCTTTTTTATGAATTGGAATTTTGTTGAAGGCTTATCTTTAGAAAAAAAATAGGTATTCCATCTAATAAGTGAAGAAGGAATACACATAGAATATCACTATTTTGTACCTCCAGTAAACTAATAGATTCCTAATCTGATCATCAGTGGCTGCTAACATTACAAAATAAAAAACAGCCAGACAGGATCTGCCTCATGATAGGAGAACACAACATCAATTATAAAGTCTTGCCAAAACCAGAAAACAAACAAAACCCTGAACTTAATTAATTCTTTAGATTTAACTACCAATTTACAGGAAATTCAGAGAACTGAGGAACATGTTAAGTCATGGGGATACAATCAGCAAAATCCAGACTAGGTGTGATGGTGAAGATTGTGTGTCAACTTGGCTGGGCCATGATTCTCAGTGTTTATATGTGATCACTTCCACGATGGAATCTGCTGTGAGTAGCCAATCAGTCGAAAGGGAGTTTCCTTGGGGGTATGGCCTGCATCTGAATGTAAACATCTGAATATGCTTGCTCTGGATCCTGCGGCTGCCTCCTGTTCGCCTGACCTCCGGTTCTTAAGACTTGAGCTATCAGCTTATCTGCTGATCTTGAGATTTGTCCACCTTCACAGCCTATGAGCGGTAGCCCTCCTCTCCGACCTGCCAATCTTGGGTTCGCCAGCCCCTGCAGCTACATGAATCAGGAGAAGCCTCTATCCTGATCCACGGACTTCAGACGTTCCAGCCTCTACAATCACGTGAGCTGTTTCCTTCATATAAATTTCTTTATATATTTATACGTTTTACTGGTTTTGCTTCTCTAGAGAACCCAGCCTAAGACACTAGGAAACTCCACAGGGTAAATAATTTGTTTCTTCAACAAATAAAATGCAAGGAGGAAAAAAAGAGTAGAGGGGAATCCTGTAGATTTAAAGATATTTAAGAAGATACACAAGCCAACTATAATGTATGTACCTTATTTAGGTATTGAATTTTTTTAAAATTAAAAAACTTATGAGACAATTACAACCTTGAAAATAGACTAGATATTGATGATACTAAGGAAATGTGGTTAATATTTTTTAGTTTTGATAATGGTACCATGATTATGTCAAAAAAGTTCTTATTTTTTGGAGAAACAGGCTGGGATACAGCTAAAATGATATGATTAGTAGGATCTGCTTCAAAATAATGTTAGAAAGCGGAAAGCAGATGGAAGCATGGATGGGGCAGGGTTGGCTATTGATGGTTGTTGGGGCTGGTTTTAGGCACATGTGTTCATTGTACTGTTCTGTCTACTGTTGGTTGTTGTTCTGTCTACTTTTATGTATTTTGGCCGGCTATCTATAATACAAAGTTAAGAGAAATCCTACCATGTGACAAACTACGGTTCAACACCAGCATCATGGACAAAAGAAACACCCTTGGGTAGAAAGGCAGGAATATTTTCTCAAGTGAGAAAAACATGTTTTTACCCCTTCCCCAAATCCCATTTTGAGAAAGGTAGTAACCAGATCTCTGACAAATGCAGCCACTGCCCTGGGATCAGCTGGAGCAAATGTCCTTACCACTGAGCTCTATTAGGCTGCGTAATTATAGTGCCCAAGGAAAGCAGTGGATGCCCAGTGACTCCAGAGTCTTAAAATTAGATTGGACAAAATACTTTCAAATATTCAGTAGGAAACAGCCCTACTCTAGCCAGGCACTAATGTCAGTGATTTCTATAATTTGCTTCTCCATTGAGCTCCAGCTGAAGGCAGCTAAATTCTTTTCATTTCACTGTGGAACAAAATGATTGTTAAATTATGTAATGGGATTTTTTTTTAAAAGGAAAATAAAGAAACCAGCATTTGCTAGCAATCGGTTCCTGCAGCCACACAGCAATACTGATAATTACTGCCACCACGCAGTGGGGACCTTCCCTCGCCACAGGTAACCTCATCACATTAATAAACAGAAACAGGGCTCAACTTGCCAAGCCCAGTGGTGATAAGTCAATAACTTTCCATCTCACAAATAAGAAATAATGGATCATTAATATTCTTCCCAAAATAAAGTCATCAAAGAGTTAGTTTACATCGGGGCAATAACAGCACCAACATTTACTAAGAATTTACTGTGTGCAGAGCACTGGGCTAAGTGATTTGCTATTGCTATTTCATTAGTTATTCGTCCCCTCAATTCCTTTTTCCTTATTTATTTGGAAATGGAGCTTAGTTATAGTCTGCAGCCTTATCAATAGTATGCAGTCGTTAAGTAACTAGAACAGAGTTGAAAACAGGGTGCTCCCTCAATTACTAGCCATGGAACATTGGGCATGTTAGGTGCTGTTGAGTCGATTTTGGTTGCATAGCAATCCCATGTGACTGAGTAAAACTGCCCCATAGGGTTTTCTAGGCTCTAATCTTTGTGCGAGCAGACTGCCAGGTCTTCCTCCCAAAGAGTAACCGGATGAGTTCAAACCACCAAACTTTTGGTTAGCAGGCGAGTGCTTAACCATTGTGCCACCAGGGCTCCTTTACCACCACTATAAACTACAAAACAAAAACATCAACCTTATAGATTTGATGTGAACATTAATTGTGTCTATGGATATAAAGTTCCCAGCATCCAGAAAGCTCAACATATGTTTATTACTTTTTCCATTTTTTGGTCTATTTGCATTTATAAAAAAGCCACCAGAAGAGCTTCTGACTTGGAAGATGGCATCCATGGCTCCCCAATGTCCTCTTGAGTTGGATGCTGAAGAGACAGGGCTGAAAGAAGCTTATAAAATATATTGGGTGTATGTGTTTCTAAAACCTTTATTAATGAGAAAGTACCAAGGACATACCTTCTTTTTAAGCTTGTACCACACAGCAAGAAGACACAGGGGAGCATTCCAGGGCACTGGATCTTTTTATTTAGGGGGTGAGGGGACATGAGAAGGAATGTTACATTTGAAATCTCACTCAACACCAACTAAACAGCTGGGTCAGAAAATG